AAGAGTGTATGAAACAGGGCACATTCAGAGAGGGTCCCTCTCCAATATTCCCCTCACATTGCAGCTGTTTGTAGTTCATGGACTTCCTGAGCTTAAGTTTGTATTTGCCTAACCATCTGTAATACTCAATTTCTTCATTAATCCATCTAGTTGGCTTTTAAAAATCTATTTATAATTTTGACAGCCATAAAGTTTGGCAGCAATGAGACATGCAATTTAAATTTGCATTTTGTGAAGAAAAAACAACACCAAGCAACCCACAACTTATTTTGGTTCTAAATATGAAACCTGGAAGTTCAATTTCAGACCTTTGGTTCCTGCATCTTGAGAAGGCATCTTAGCCATGACTTTATATACAGTGATCATATCCCTCAGTCACACTTTCTTGAGCAATTCGAATGCTGTCCTGATTACTAGCACTTCATTAAAAAAAGCCAATTAATATCTTTCAACAATCTTGCCATCTTGCTTTGAACCTTCTCTTGTTTATGCAGCTTGGGCAGTGAAAACTGCCAGTTTCAGTCTGCTCTGTGTTGCTTACATATTTCTGACAGAAGTCTTCCAACACTGAAAGTTACTACATAAATGCTTTCTGTTAAAATTTTAAGAAAAATCAATATATACCTATCTCTATTGCAATCATTTCAACACTTCCTAGTATCTTTCCTCTTTTAAAACAAAGCCTGAATTTTGGACAAAGCTGTTGGACAGTGATCTTGTAATTTTTAAACTCTGCTCACTCCCTAAACTCTATGTAGTTTATTTTAAGGAAGCCTTATGTCCAGTTCAAGTGTCATTAAAAAAAACACCCAAGCTCATCTCCCAGGAAGTATTAATGTCAACTGCCTGAGGGTCTAGATTGATAGATGCATGGGCAGTTCTTGGCAGAAGGCAGTGTAACTTATAAAGACAGATGTCCTTCCCCTAAAAAATTCTTCTGCTCTGGAACCATCTCTAAACCCTGGCACGCTTATTTCCAGTCATAGGAGCTCTTGAACCTTCATTCTGTGGTTCAACACCTGCAAATCCCAGCATAAGAAGACTGGGAAGGAAGATGGGACCAGGCTTCCTATTTAGATCAGCTCAAGATCCCAAAAAGCTGCCCTGCCACCAAAAGATGCAGTCATGACCTCCCTACCCATCCCAAAACACGTTCCTGCTGCAGCAGCAGAGCAATGCATGGGATCATCCTGATGAGCTGCTGGATCTACTTGTAACAGTTGTGAAACTAGACCTGAGGTACTCGGAAGATACTAAGGCTCAAGTCTGTCTGGAGGACCTGGCTATGATGAGAATGAAGAAGGTTGCCTTTGATCAGTATCAGTAATAAGGCACCTGCCACTGGGTTACCACAGTTCTTAAATACCAACACCTCATTAATTGTATAGCTTTATCAATTAAAATAAATACTCCTAAATAGTCTTACATAAGAAGAAATCCAGCATATACCAAATGATCAGCATTCTAAAGCTAAGCTGGCCTTTCTATGCATTAGACTAGCACTTTCAATGGGCCATATTTGAGGAGCACTGGTGAGGCTGGTGAAAAACACAGTCTTTGCCATGGGAAATGCTGCAGCCAGGCAGGTGAGGGGGCATCACAGCCATCTGAGTTTGATCTGTTGGACCATAAGATGATGCGTGAATGCAACTCAACAGAACAGAGCAAGTGTAATTTTTAGTCCTTGCATACCTGAGGGGCAGGGAGAGGAAAACAGGGGACAAAAGAGAGTAGCTTGGGTTTGATTATTCCTTTCTTGAATTTTAAATTCGTGTTAAGGTAATGCAGCAAAAAAAATGTGTTATAAAGTCAAGCCAATGTAGCAGAAAGGAAGTTGCACAGCTGAACTGAACCTGGGGCTCATATATAGTTGATAAAGTGCTCAAATGTCAAATGTTTGAAGTAGCTCCATTCAGGAAAGTGGACTGAGCAGAGGACACCAAATAGAATGAAGCATCAGAATACAAAAAAACTTTGTACAGTTTCAGAAAGCAAAGCTGATCAGGTCTGGCCACTTAGACATCCTTACCATTTCCAAGTTACTGTGACTGGGAAGTACCAAATATAATCACAGTGGGGAAAAAAAAAATATTAAAAAAAGCATTGCATTTTCATCTAGAACAAGACAACTGCATTAATTATATGTGTGGGCATTTATTTTTAAGGCTACAATCTGGATTTCATGCTTCAACAGCAGAATGCCAGATGAGAGGAAACAGCTGACTTAAAACTGCCCAGACAAAGATGACAGGCTTCTCTCATTGATAGAATGATGTATTTTTTTTCAGCCTATATCATTTCCTACACCTCCTTTTCCAAAGGCCGTTCATCTGTTGCCATAGGGACCGTTTCCAACCCGCTCCTTTCCCTCGCACAGGTTTTACTCCGGACTTGAGCTGCCCGGGCCGCTCTGGGAGCAGCCGAGGGGCAACAGCGAAGCAGAACATCCGCAGCTGCTCCAGGTACAACTGCCGGGAGCAGAATTCCTGATTTTTTTTAATCCACTGGTCCCTAACTGGGAGGATAAGCTGGAGGATGAGAAGGCGGGTGCGCATCACCACTACCCCATCTACTAGGATGCCGTTGTGTCCTCACGGGGAACTGTTACATCAATCAATCCCCCCGGCTTTGCTCGCACCGGCGAGGACCGTAAGCAACGGGAAAACAAAACCTCTGACGTTCCCCCTCACGGAGAGCTCCCGCACGGACACGCCCGGGCCCGCACGCC